GGCTATATATAGCCGAAACATGTCGTAAATGTTCCACATGTAAATCGAGTACTCGATAAGGAACGTAAAATGATATTTTAATCTTTTAATTATCTTATATTGTGATTGACGGCCAATTTTAATATATTTTTAATATTTAATAAATCACAATATGACGCACTTACAATATCTTATATGTCTTCTAGTTATTTATTTATTTATTTATTTTACAGGCATTTTGCTTTCATGATTTGGCTTATATTTACTTTTTCTGTGTATTTAATTTTAAATATATTTTTCTCGTCTGTAAAAAAAATGCCCCATTTCTTATATTCCCCCCACCAAGTTACCATAATCATTAAAATAATTGTGCATGTAATTATATCGTAAAGTATACCTTTTTTTCATCACATCGCCGTCTAAAAATCCATCAGTAAAATGTGTTGCATACATGTGAACTATTTGCGTTCAAAGCTTGAAATTTCATTGCCCGTGTGTGTGTGGGGGGGGGAGGGGGTTAATGTGGTGAGTGGTGTACAGTTGATTGCATGCATCGTCTGATCATCCATCACTCAGATCCCATGGGTCAGATTACACGGATATTTACAGTGTTCAATGTTACCGATCCCTTTTGGTTCCCTGACACACGGTGTAGTTATTTCAGCATCACGACATTTCTAGCTTTCTATTGGCTATCTCGAGAGTCGCTGTGACCCAGACTTGATATAGCGTATTCCTCTTTTTGTGCGCGGAAGACAAACGAATCTCTAACTCACGAACGTTTTACAGGAAATGCTTCCTAACTGCGCTACAGCCACATTGTGTGTTCTGTTAGTCGAAATTAATTTCGCAGAGGTAATTCTGTTCTGATGGACTAACGACCAACCTTACCTCATTGTCTTGGTAGTATGCACCGCGTTCATCCCGTCTTTACCCCTTGAGAAGGAGCACAGCTATGCTTGTGTGTTCGTGTTGCGACTGATTTTAATCTCAGTACTGAGTTTCTGTAAGCGTCTAAGAACTATGAAACAATTGTGCGAATTTACCTTAATGTCATCGGAGATCCATACTTGTCTGATGCGTCAAACAGTGGGGTCGCTGGTTCGAATCGGGGCATAGATGTAATGCTGTTTTTTATAACCCTACGTAGGCCAAGGTCTTTCATTGGGTCAGTCCCTCTTCTGAGAAGTTGTATCAAATATCTGAAGGGTTTATCGTTTTAGAAATGTGTCTAACTGTGGAAGGCTCCATCTCATGTGCCATTTAGATATGTCCCTCCCTCTTCCCTTCCTACAGTGTGTTTAAAAGCACTTGAAATGAGTTTGCTGTCAGAGTAGTGAATAATTAACACAGTTTCCTTTTCCCCCCCTTGTTTTCAGACTGAGTTGTCGCAAAACCTGCAGCAGCTGTCCGAGAAGGCGAGGTCCACAACAGAATTCATCCAGAGGCTTAAAGGAATGACCGACAGAGTGAACGTGAGTATGTTATTGTATTTTGTTACCCGAGGAAAAATTTATTCTGAAAATATCAGAATTTGTGTTAAAAAGTGATTTTTCGTTCGTAGTAAAAACCGCTTGAGGTGAAGGAAAGTTTTCTTTTCTTTCGAAATTCATATATCATATTGGTTCAGTGTTTTTGTTACGAAGCTCAAATACCATATTTTAAAAAAAAACTGACTCATGGTTTGTAAAATTATTACGCTTGCATGGTTTATAACCTGAATTTGAAATATTATGGAGATAATGCAGTATAACTGCAACAGATCTTGCGTGGAATGAACTACGGTTTTAACCTTTAACTTATCATGCTTATTTTGGTTTAGCAAGATGAAATCCTTTCCTTCCGTTCTTTAAACGCTACAGTAGCTTAAATTGACAAATAGTGTGCAAGAGATATTTTTTGTCTTTATTTTTTAAATATCAGGGATATTCTGACGAGAAGTAAATTGAACCAGAAATTATTCTGTTCCGTATATAGCGAGAGGCCGAATTTCCACCTCACATAAAACATCAGGTAAAATTAATACTTTAGATATTTTAATATACAGATCTTTGCATAGCAGAAAGGAAAACAGAATGTCCGAATCTGAATTGTAACAGTTATTCCTCAAATTTAATATACTCGTAACTTAAAATACGGCTGTTTTTTGGGTTGTAGCGCCGTGTAGAAGTTTATGAACGTTTCGATGGTCCTTGCTGCCTCCATCATCAGGGCGATTAAGATGGCTGTCTTGTGGGCGGTCACTCTGATGATGGAGTCGGGAAAGACCTTCGTAACGTTCACAACCCATAACAGAGCCGTCGACTATAACCTATGGTACAATTCGCCTTTAGTCTTCTCTGTGCGTTATTCGCTGTTGGTGCATTTTACGTCTGTCCTCATTTGTTTACCCACGTAGAAATGCTTGTTAGTTTTAATAACACTTGTCACTCGGGTTCCTACTGTCGTTGGTTTCATGTCGGCCTTGTCACACTCATTGCGTGCTGATAAATGTCCGTATCCATGCCGTTGATTACTGCCGCACAAATGCGTCTAGATTTATATTAGCACGGACAGGTGTTCGTATCTTACGACGCCATAACGCGACGCACGATCTGAAAGTTGTATATTATTATTTATTTTTTTAGAAAAAAAAATATGTTCGGAAATGAGGACTTACCGTGGCCGATTTGTGTAGCGTCGTAGTAACCCAAATACCGTTTATCTTTTATTTGTTTCCCACGGGAGTGTGTAAACAGAACTACACATCCTTTTTACGCCATAATTTTAATTCTCTTCACGGCCGCATCCATAAGTTTTATATTTCATCCGGGATCCTCTCCCAGAATACAACTGTGGTCTCATGTCTAATGTCACGGCTGAATGAACCGTACTCTTAATTAAAATATGCACAAAGGAATAATTATATCATGCCGTGGTCTTATTAATCAGATCGACGTCGGTTTTAACGGAGTTAAAATTTCAGACCGACGACATGAAACGGGGTTGAATGAGTTCCCTTTGCTATGATCATACTTTGTGGATAATTTTTTAGCTGTTTAAAAATGCCATGAGTGGAAAATTTCGCTTCTCACCGGTTCAGTAAAATATGGACAGTCTTATATATATATATATTATTTAAATCTTGTCCGTCTAATCACAATAAATTCTTATTAAATATTAAAATATTACAATAATTAACATTTAAAATATTTAAAATATTTTAAATATTTTAAATGTTAATTATTGTAATATTTTAATATTTAATAAGAATTTATTGTGATTAGACGGACAAGATTTAAATAATATATATTTATTATATCACAATATGACGCAACTTTACCATCTTATGGACAGTCTTATTAAAACGAATGAACAGTTCTTCTGACCGCCCTTATTAGGTGCTCATTACATAATATTATAAATGTCAAAGGTCAAATTCTGACTACCGCGTCACTATTAATAATCTGTGCAGTTCTTTTCACCATTGCGTTCATATCGATATTTGGAATCAGTTTTCTCCGCCTGGAACGGAGGTAAGGATGGAACTTAAATTCGCCACCTTGTCACGTGAGTGTTAGTCACGTAGTTTAGTTTTATTCGAGGGAGTTCGTGATGTAATAGAATATCTGCCTATTACGTGATTATTAAATTTCCAGGGATGACACTATACCATAGAGATATTTAGGTAAATAATTAATTTCTTTATTGAATATTTATACATTAGTCTTTTGCCAAGGTTATTATTACCTTTATTTTTTATTTAGTGTTCTGTCTGACGACAGGTCCATATGAACATGATCCTTCCATCCTTTTCTCGGACTGGGACCTGTTCATATACGTTCTTGGCAGATGATCCAGAAGTGGTTTGCCATTGCCTTCTTCTGTGTGTGAATGGAGTAATTGTTGGGATGCCCCCGGAGGAAAACTCCGTGATGCCTAGACCACGGCCTTGCCCAACACAAGTTATAAATTTGAGCACCACCGGGAATTACCTAAGAACGTGTATTTTTATGTGGTAACGTTGTTTCTCGTATTTAGCGAGAAATTCTTTCCATTTAATGTTGAGGTTATGTGTGCGGCTTTAGTTGAAATTAAAGTTAATTATTGAACAATAACATTGCGCTGTTCCAACATCGTTCTCTGCTAAGTTATCTTGGTGATATAAATCACTTATTTCTAGGAACGACACGCGGAGGAATTTCTGCTATGTTTGGTATAGTCTGTAATGAACAGTTCCTCCGTGTGTTATGTCTGCATGCCTCTGGTGACAGATCACCATTCAGTGACCTTTTACTCGCCTGTTTATTAAGAGCACGGTCTACTGCTGCTAATTTGTAGTCTATGATGACGCAAAATGTTAACCTACAGTAGTCACAAAAGCTGTAAGAGAACATTCAATCAATTGCATTTACCCTTTGAACACGAACCTCATCTAAATAATGTTTAAAAATTTACTCCGTACCGCGAAGAATACAACACTTCACAATGCAGCCATCATGACAACGCGCCAGCGCACACCGCCCTCAAAGTTCGGCAGTTTTTGGCCTCAAACACCATGGCCGTCATCCTGCACCCTCCTTATTCGCCGGATTTAGCTCCGTGTGCCTTCTTCCTCTTCCCAAAGATGACAATTCAGCTAAAGGGAAGGAGATTTGAGACGATAGAAGAGATTCAGGCAGAATCGCAGATGGTGCTTGACAGGCTGGCAAAGAAAGATTTCCAGGGATGCTTCCAGGCTTCGCAGCGGCGCTGGGATCGTTGTGTTCACTCCCAGGGGAACTACTTCGAGGGTGATGGATGAATTTAATACCTGAGATAAGTGTACGGGTTTTTATAGGCGCAGTCTTGAAACTTTCCGATCGCACCTCGTATGTATTGAAATTACTGAGTTTTTTTTTTAAAAAAAATATTTTTATGGGAAGGAGCGTGAACATTTTTGATCATACGGTAGAGAAGACGTCCGACTTCGATATTAATAAATAGTAATAATAAAGTAGATGAATGTTATTATGTCCTGATGGTAGTGTCAAGAACTTGTTAACATTTATGACGGGGTATTTTCCGCTGTGTAGTGACTGCATTTTCTCCTGAAAAGCCGATCTCCAGCTGAGGAGGACGAGATTAAATATTATGGTACCGGCTGTGCGAAGGATATTCTGAGAGATTTCCGAGATTTATGACTCCGCCCATTTGTTTTTTGAGTTTTGATCTTGTATGGGCTACTCTTAGGTTGGCGCCTTTGTATCGATTATTTTGAGTCGAAATCTTGCTGTTGGCTTTCACAAGATTTCTACAGGTTTTGCTCCATTCATTGAGGAAAAAAAAATGTATAAAAATGTCCACGTCGATATACTTCGTGAAATTACAAGAACTTTTAAAATATTAATCAGATTTTATGTTATCGTATAGCTTGCACCAGTCGAAATATCGCTTCCCCCCCTCTCTCTCTCTCTCTCCCCCCCACCTCCCGGGTGGAAGAATTGTTGAAACAGAGTATCGTGTCATTTCAAGGCATATTCCATATTGAATTTGGAATTTAATCTCCCTGTAAGAATGTGTGGAGGTATACCTCCACGTCTGCATGGCGTGGTACTTAATTAAGCCCCAGGGACAACCTCACGTCTTTTGCTTCACTGTCCCAACAGTTTTGTTACTTCAAGTGAATCTTCGATTTGTATATTTTAGATATTATTGCTTCTGTGATGTTTTTTTTATTTATTGTTCCAATTATTCCACGAATAATTTTGAATGTCCGATGTGCCAGACTAAAATATTCACGCAAAAGGAAGAAATTTGGATCGATTTCTGGTTCATGTAAGTATACTCTCGTGAGAAAATCTGATAATATATAAGAATACAGATCGTACCGCAAAGAAAACACCACACTCCACCATTACGAAGTTTAAATTATTGATTCTGTTTGAGAAAATGATCGCTGTTTACACTGATAATCATGAAATACCCATAATTCAAGAGATATTATTGATTGTTAAAGCAGGTGGGGAAAATTGTTCCCACTGGAATTTAAAGGGTTAAGCTTCATGGTTTATGTTGACTGGACTGAAAGGGCGATTTTGAATTATGAAGTTTTTCGCAAATGTCGAACCCTTAACTCAAAACGAAAATATTTGTGCTACTCTTTTACGTTAGCCAAGAAGAGAAGAAAACAGCTACGTTTTATTTATTTCCCTTCTAAGCGAGTTGCTTGCGGGGAAATATATCTTTTAAAGAAACCTTATTCTCTCTGTAACGGAGTGAGATTAGTGGCGGGAACTTCGCAGATGTGAACTGGTCTTTGTTATCTAACGCAATAGACTTTACTCTTCTGAGGGTTTTTTCCCCCCGTATTCTTCTCTATTGCTTTCTTCCATTTTGTATGTCGTTAAGTTGGGAAAATAAGTGCTTAACCTATTTATCAGACGCATTAATAACTATGTTTCTAGCGGTTAGAACGCTGGCCTTGTAATCCTGGGGTCTCGGGTTCGATTCCCGG